TCTTGAACAAAAGGTGCTATTTCGTGAGCACCCAGCTCGTGACTCGTGACTCACTATGGTCTGAGGGTTCCAAGGATGATATGCCCGCTGTGGGCATGTGGCTTTGCAGTTGACATGTTGACCACCTCCCTGCCAATGAGTTCCGCGATGACCTGGGGGCAAGTGGATTTCCCCAAAGGCCACAAAGGTTCACCAGCTTGTCTTACATGGCAGTCACTTGAGTCATACAGTAAAGTACAATGGGATTGCCGATTGTGGATTTGACATGTGTTGATGAGGATATCAATATGCAGCAAATTCTCCTCCTATGCTTCAACATCACGCCATTTGCCTCGAGCATCTTCCAGCAGGCATCCTCCAGCTGATTGCCGCTGTCCAACGTCATCTCTAGCAGCTCTAAGACGTTCTCAGTCGTGAGCCTGCTCAACAACTCCAAGTCCACCTGGCATTGAAGTCCCAAAACCACCGTGAACTCCGCAAAGTAAACGAACAGCCGACTCAAGTACGTCCCATGCACGCACCCCCCCGACACACTATGGACACATCGTTGCTATGTCACATAAACATCTCAAACACACCCAGTTCGGAGGATGCTGGTCTAGGCACCATGCATGTGTCAAACTGGCTCAACTGCATTCAAACATCAAAGGAACGATACCCCAAACACCAACGACACAAGAACGAGTTCAAATGGTCAAGCGCCCTTTGGACGCTTCGCCATGCCTTGGCCACCAATGAGAAGAGGCAAAACTGATCAGCAAGAGCCCTGACCATCTGGGCAGTCTCCAGATCTTCAAAGCTGAAGGAGTCCGTCAAGATGAAGCGTAGGATGGCCGACATGGACTTGCAAGTGGCTTTCTCCTGGCCAAACCCATGTTTTGTGGTTTCAACTGCTAGTTCGGGAAACGTGAAATGATGCGATGCCTTCGCTAGCTTGGTGTTCAACTATTCAACTGAATATGCCTCAAACAACCACCCTTTGGAGAAGAACCCTTCCCTTCCAGCCTCTTTGCGCAGGTCGATCTGCCCAGTGCGAGATTCCCTCCAGTCCTGCATGAGTGGAACAACGGGTCTCACACATCACCACCCAAAGCCACCCAAAGCATGTTTACATCATATGAGATGGGTGGGTGTGGGCAGGTGATGTATGTGTTTTTTGTGTGTATCTGATGAATATAGATATATCTTTTTGAACTTTAGAGCTGCGTTGCATTACGCCAATTACATTTGGTTTTCCTTTGCCAGAGTGATTTGAAAAGGACACGATCCAAACAGCATCCTCTCTCCCATTCTCTTTCCAACAAACCCAGGCTGCGACGGGAGACAGGCCCGAGCAATTCGTCCAGTCCTGGGCGTGGTTGGACGCCAGCATGTTGCGGAAATACTCAGAGCGCGAGATCAACAGCCGCTGGTCAAAGAAGAGACTTCCTGCGGAACCAGTGTTCCAAACGGCCGCATGTTTTCAAGTGCCTGCCTCTGGCGGCCACAAACGGCAGTAAGTCTGTAACATTCACCTGAACTGTGGTGGTTGTTGGGCAAGAATTGGTACTCTTATATTCTAGATACAGCAATGTCTTATGTTGTGCACACCTTGATAAAGGGAACTATGAAGAAAACATTATTAAGCGACAATTCGCAGCGACAATCCTCTAAGGCAAATATGCGCCAGCTATGCGTGATCAAGTCTTCCTGTATATATATAATATATATATATATATCGATGTCTCACTGGCATCGTCGACCTCTTTTCTGTCCACGTTCTTCCCTGTTTTTCACTGGCATCCTCGCCTTCGGCCAAGCGAAAGGTGGCAAACTTGGGCTCCTCCGCGAAGTCCAGCGACACAAAGGCTTTCGAGAGCCCAAACTGTGCGGCTCGCTGCTGCTCAGCCCATGGCACCCACACCTGCTTCGAATCCGTGCCGTGCACGACCACAGGGGAGACAGGACGCAAGAAAGCACACATCGATTCAACAGGCCGAAAGTGTGACCAAATAAAGAGGGGTGTAGAAGAGCCCTGGTGGTTTTGTTCCCTGCCCGAAGAGTTTCCAATGGGGCCATTTGGATACTTGGATATCTACATATATATATATATCTACATATATAATTCTTTCTTTCTCTCTCTATACATATATATATATGTGTGTGTGTGTGCGGCGGCATTTATATGGTACTAAAATGTACCAAACTCAAATACACTATCCATTATGTCGGGGGCCTATCTCGTTTAGACTACTTAAGTAGGAGGTCATGTCACTGTATCTCGTTCAGACTACTTTAGTAGCAAATCACACAATCTCGTTCAGACTACTTTAGTGTCATCAAGCAAAAGCATCTCGCTTATGTGGGGGCCCTATCTCGTTCACAAGCAAATACTGATGATAGACAAGCAAATAGAGCATGCAGTAGACTACTTTAAAGCCTAAATAAAAGTGGTTGCTCATATGACTTCATGATTCTTGGATAGAGGATGATGGAGTCTCTTTCCATTCGCACCAGCAGACCCCGCGTCATCGGTTTTTCCCCACCTCTGCAGCCAGAACCACTTCGTCTTCGCCCGTCGATGAGGTCCTGGTATAGGTCCTGGAGCATCTGGAACAGGACGGCCGCCGCATCCCAAAAGCATGGACTCTCCAGGGAGCACATCACATGGTTACGTGGAGTGAAAACCACCTGTTTTGGTATTCCGAACAGGGTCATTCAAAGGGCCACGGCATCCACTTCCATGAAGATATTTCATGTCCAGTAGTGTAGGTGATGTGACATGACATGCTTGTCCCACAAACAAACATCACTGAAGATCTGCTCGGGAATTTCAATATATGTAGATCAATATAGCACCCTCCCCCAGCATAGCAACTGACTGGAACCTGCAAGATGTTGCCTGAAACGTGGTAGCTATGTCATATATAAACGTGGTAGCTATGTCATATATGTCACATGTTTGGTGTTTCCCGTGTCTCACGGATGAGTGATAGGCCACCCCTGATGAAGCCAGTGCCCTACTATGATAAAACACCAAAGCCCCACTTGGCCTCTGATAAAATGCTGGACCTCCCACAACATGGCTCAAACCAAACGCCAAACTGTGGCCATCAGCTCTGTTCTCCGCCTCGGGTGGGTCTCGTTCTTGAAGAGGTCGTGCCATCCACGATCTGCTTGTTGTTCCGAGAAGTCGAAGGTGTCATCAAACTTCAGGTCTGAATTTCTCGCAGTCTGAGATCTCACCATGATGCTGTAGCGTACATTCATGCACTTCCATCCCTCGTATCCAGCGTTCTCAGGAGAATAGTCCTTCATGGCCTGAGGTGGGGTAGCCTCCACAAACGCCGACAAGGGCCGAAAACTTCGAAGTTGATTTCGGTCAGTTCTGCTGACTTCAGTTCCACTCGGGAAAATCAGCAAACTAAATCGAAAGGCATCTGTGGGCCCGCTCAAGGGCGAACGTATGGAATCACCCGCTGAATAGCTCTCTCGATCTTTGATGGTAAATTCCGGGATTGAAATGGGCATCCGCATCTTGTTCGCCATGGCGAAAGCCCGGTAGAACGCTGAAGGGCTGAAGAACACAACACCAACACATCCTTGCAAGCTGACGGCTGAGTGTCGTTGTCTTTCGCTGAGGTTCTTTCGGTAGATTCCCTGTGCTGCTTGTCATCTCTGCATTGAGTTTAAAAACGCGTGCAATGAATGGCGCAAAGGAGCCATTTGTCCTGGATATGGAGGCTTGAGAGGGACGCAAAGAGGGGCGGCTCATTGCTGAACATGCACCTGGCCTCAAACGTCCACCCGGGCCGACAGGGTTGAACGACCAGTCCAGTCCTGGCCTTTGGGATTCTGCAGTCCCTCTCTGCCAGTGCCGCTACTGAAGTGCGGAACCAGTGGATGAGTGTTTCATGGTGCTTGAGCCCTTTTCCAAGAGATCAGGGAGCAGCTGCTTTTCACCCGACTTGAACCTTTGGAAGAAACCTCGACATGTCCATCGGCCTCGACCTGTCCGACACCACGAGCTGAAGAAAACCATCGACCAACGAAGATGCACTCCAACAGGATCCGGTCATTGCGGACCCTAAAAGGTGTCCGAGAAAGGGGGCTGGTCCAGTTGCGGCACGGCTCCCGGTGGACGTTGGATCGGTCGCCACAGATCCGATGGTCGCTGATCCGACCGTTGTTCCAGATTTATAGATTGAATCCACTTTGAAATAAAGGTTGGGTTGTCCAGTTTGTAGTAGGAATCTACAAAAAGCTGTGACCGAAGCCTCTTTAGAATTGTTAAATCGTGATATATGTAATTGTAGCATATTGTAGCGGTATGGAACACCAGCATGGAGCTGGTCCTTTCCGTTGAGCCTGTCCCGGTAGAGGAACTACGACCACACCAACCAACTAGTCTGTTACGCCTCAGGTGGCTCGGACTTCTTTTCACGACTCCGGGGTATCGCACGTGCGTATGCCTAGGGTCTGGAGTGCCTTCAGTTCTAGCGGAGGCCTGCGAGCCCAAACTCTAGATCCAGGAAACCATACCAGCAAAGAAAAAGGCCTTCACACACCTCGCCGAGGTACAATGGTTCGATGCGACAATCGGCAGCCTGGGTCGCCCACCTTGAGCCCCAATCGCTTCGGTGTTTTGACCCAATCACTCAGCAAGGTCGGGGACATACGAAGGCGTGTGCACCCTCAGGTGTCTGAGGTCCTGGGGGTTTTCTTGGCAAAACAAATGTGAACAAAGCAAACATCGATCAGGCTGGGCTGTGCTGGACAGGTTTGTCTGTTTCAATGTATATCTGCACATCTTCCTTTGCAAACCATCGGGATGAGACTGGATCATGTCAAATCGTGTTGCTAAATGCTCGAAGTCCCGAGCCTCTGGCCGCCTCTGGCACGTCCAAAGGAGCATAGTTCAAGGGAACATCTACAGGACGGCCATAGTTTTGGGTGTGAAAAACCGGGGTTTCCTCCAGATGGTCCCTTGAACCAATGAATTTTGAGTCAGCCACCCGCTCCTCGCTTCATCTGAGTCCTGGCAGTTGCCCAGTCCGTGCAAAGAGTTATATAGATCTACAGTGTGAGGGGCAAGGACGGCTCAAACAATCAAGCAGCCTCAAAGGTCCTTTATGTAATATTCCACGCACACACACAGGTATGTATATATATATATATACGTATTGCCGCAAATGTATTCCCAACCAAAGGGATCCCAAACAAGACCATGTCACCAGGGCAAAATTTATCATCTCAATCGTGTTAGGTTGAGCCCATTGCGGCGCGAAACCATCAAACGATTGTTGGTGACCAGCGAAGCAAACAAATCAGTTGAGCAGGCCGAGATTGTGTTACAATGTGACATGTGTCTAAAAGGCTGAAGCTTTGGCATCCGAGGCCCATATGGAGAACACCTCTCGTCTCTATAGAATGGGCTGTCAATCCTCGAATCTCTATAAAGGGCCAAATCAGGTAAATCAAAAGAAAGTAAAGAAGGTGACCAACCTGACAAAAAACAAAGAAATCTGGTAAGTGGCTCTAAGAACATGACTAGACTAGACCAAGCTCTGTGATGTATGAATCTGTTTCGTCGTTTTCTATGAAATGCCTTCACTGGACTCTTTTCTCTGTTTGCTAGGCTGCGGAGGTCGCTGGTCCCCGGAGCCGTTTGGCAAACATGCCAACAAACTGAGATGAGGCCATTTCGACAATGTGAACAAATCTGAACTCGTCTCAGAAGACATCTTTTTTTGCGTCACATTGCGCTGGTTCCACGTTGTATTTCTCAGGTTTCTGCGTTGTGTTGTGTGTGTGTGTTCTTTTAGGTTTTTGTGGTGTGTGACTCAGGGCAAGTCCAAGGGACTAAAGGGGAGCTCTAGAATCTATGGAAAAAGAACCTACTATTTTCTCTATGCAATGGAATTCCACATGTCTTCTCTTCTATGAGCCAGAATGACATGTTTGAACATGACTCCTCTATAAAATACAATTTCAAGCATTGGCCTTTTTAAATCCAAGGTACCCTCACCCTCACTCTGGAATGGGTAAATATAAATATACCAGAAATGGCATACTAAAAATGCCAATGGTCCCCCATGTTACAAAGAGACGCACTCACTGGATATGCTTGTTGGGCCACACGAAAACTCTTACCACACGTTCAACACCAACATCCTTCAGACCATTCAGAGACAAATTATGTCAGGTGGGGTGAAGAATCCAATTCTGGTGAAACACGAAGGAGTACAACTCAGGGGTCACATGACCCGAACCTAAAACTCACAATGCTTTTGGTTCCTCATATGACCATGATTCGGGGTCCTTGGTTAGGTTATTTCAATGGTTTGGTTCCTTTCCATAATTTGTTGAAACCCTCCAAAAGCGCCCCACCTCGGATGCACTGGAGCCTTGGCGGCAGGGGAGGGGGTTTTCAAACAAACACCCAGTGGCTTGGCAAAAAGGCCCATATGCATGAAATATCCTCAATCATGTATGGTTCATGCACACATATAGTTATATGGATCTTCTGTGATCTTCTATTCATATATCCATGGCATTTGATGCAATCATGTGATACAGTATATGGATTTCCTATGCTGTGCACATCTGTGCACGCTAACATGTGGATCGAACCATTGGGCGGTTATTGGTGTGGGATGTGATCCAACAGCTGTTAAGCATGGATTGACCCATGCCGGTTGATGCATCAAATTGCACCATCTATTCAAGGCCGAATAGGTCAAAGTTGATCGAGCTGACCCCGAGCGAGGGTGATCCTTCCTTTGGTGGCTCTATGGCTGGTATATACTAACATAACATATCATTCTATGTTCTCTTCTCTTTTCTATCTGCGCGTGCAGGTACAAAAACACACACATACACACACGCAATAAATGCGAAAATGACTCTAAAATGTGTTACTGTGACACAAGTGTCACCTGTTTGGAACATTTGTGGGGCCAAACGGGGTAAACAGTCGAAGCTGCCCAACCAAGGGAGACCAAAGTCCTTCTGAAAGCACTTGTTGCGTCGGCTTTCTGGCTCTTTTCTGGCTCTCTCTGTCTCTGTCAGTCAGTCTTCCTGTCTATGTGTATTTATATATATATATATATTATATATGGCTAACGCATACATAAACCAACACAAAAGCACGCTCTGGTAGTTCTCCCGCAGCGACGACCATGCACTGACCTTGCACACTGACGAGAGGTGAATCCCCCTCAAACATGTAGTGCACTATGGATATAACAGTATGTTTTTAGAACCTTTTCTCAAACCTTTCCATTCATATGGTTCGTGCCCTTCTACCAAAGTTAACACCCTGAAACAAACAACCGGTGCTTGGACGCACGTCCCAGCGAGGCATACACCTGTGGTTCAGCTGCTGTGCTCTGCTGCGCTCTGCTGCTCACCCCAAACGTCAGCTGCTTCGGATGTGCGACCCAGTGGCTTGAAAGGTCAGAATCTGGATGTTCAGTGACCTCACAGTGTGTGGAGACGAGGTTGCCAATACTCTTTCTGAAACAATCCATGGAAGTGGATGGCATGTCCATCCAAGGACCATCTTCCTCTTTTCAGGTGATCCTGGTCAGCTTCCATGTCCCTTGGAGGGTCAATAGCCCTTCGTGGTGTGAGAGGGTGGACCGGATCGAACGTGTCACCGGTGTCACCGATGTCACCGCTCCAATCGCTCCTCCTGGCTTTCGCGACTCGAGCGGTCGCTCGCCAGGTGGACCTTCGGCGAATTCGCCGTGGAGCATCCAACAGGGTCACCATGGCTGGAGCAATAGACTACCTACCTACTACCCTACGGCCCTACACGCCTGATGGACATCCAGAACGCACACCCCATTGGATGATCCTGGAAAGAGGATAAAAACAGGTTGGAACCTGTGGAATCCTCCGGCTTGGCTAAGGCATGTCTGTCTCTCTCTCTCTCTCTGTCTGTGCAGGCTAGCTGATGGCACCCAGCTGTCCCACAGGGACACTCTGATGGGCCAAGGTCTGTACATCCCGATCATCCCATTCATTCTGCTTCGGAGACCCGCTGACCCCACGCGAGGTCACGGTCACGGACTTGCCCCACATCCCCCAAAATCCCGCACGACGTCACGACACAAGCCACGGTATTGCAGCAGCCACCCCGATGAAAATGGATCAGCAAAACAAACTATATATAAACACACACATATATATATATATACATACCTAAACTACTACCTAAACTGATCTGGCTGGGCAAAGGTTTCACTAGACTTATTCTATCTTATTCTGTGCACAAGGTCATAGACAGTGTCAGATCTTGTGAGTGGCAGGCTTGTTGCAGGCGCCACGGCACCCCCCCCAAACGCATTTTTGAAACCACAACTGCAAGGTCGGATCTTGATGATTTTAACCCACAAAAGATCCCCCTTGCAATTCGGCCTCCCTCTTGGACTGTCTGATTCTTTAGGAGGCCACCTGCCACCTGCCACCTTAAAGAATCCTCAATCCACAGTGCCCATATCAACATGTCAGCTTAAAGAATCAGGACTCTGCCAACACATACTGGGCACTGGCCCTAAAGAATCAGAACACGTTGAGCACAATGCGCACACACCTGTGACACCCGGACTCCCCCTAAAGAATCAGAACTCCTGGTACCAGTCCATGATGACAACAGCACACAACCAGTCCATGCGTGTGGCAAAAAGTGCACCTCTAAAGAATCACACTCCGTTGCCACTCTAAAACATGCATGGTGAACTCTAAAAAATGGATGGTGAACTCTAAAGAATGGCCTGCTTTTTGACAACCCGGGTTGGCTGATTTCCTAGAGGAAATTGCAAGGGGGATCACAAAAGGCACTATAGAAACAACATGAAACAAAACGTCACGATTTGTTCTTACACATGCATCTTCTTCTTTAAGCAAGAATAAGAACAACATTACAAACTACAAGGAATCTGAAGGTCGTTTTGTAAGTACAACTCTGGGACATCTTTTGGGGTCGCTTGAACGCGGAACTACGGCGCGCGGAACTACGGCACCTGCGCGTAGAGCCGGGGCCAATGCACCTGGAAAAGATATACTCACTGCTGCTAACTGGTGGTGCAAGAGTCAAGTGGTCTAGATCGGTCATGGATTTCAAAGGAAAACATCGTTAACTACAACAATCATATACACTAAAACTATCTAAAACGACGAGTATTGCCAACAAACATGCTGCTTTGGTTCGTTTGGTGTCGTTTGGTGGTCTGCATGTCGCGTGTGGTACGAAAGAACACCCGTTCTGACAGCCGAGACGTGGCTGCACGTCAAGGCAGGGCACAAGAGTGAGCAAAGCAAGTGATGCCTCCAGCACTTCTAGAGAGCGGGTGTGCTTGGGAGAGCGCACACTAGCTCAGAACCCTTTAGAAAACACTGTAAATACCGTGCAAATTATCAAAACCTGCTCCGTTGGTCACCAGTTTGCGAAAGGCAGCTCTGCCAAATGCTTTGTTCTTCTGAGCAACTCCTGACTTCTTCAAGGTGTCAAACGTCCACCACATCGCACCTGAAGATCCTGGGCTCTTTCCTCTTTCCTTTGGTTCCTTTAGTTCCGACGCTCTTTCCGACGCAGCAGCGCCTCCAAGGACTTCTGGGCCTCACAGCGCTTGGGGCCACCTCAAACGAAAAGAAACCAACAGGAAAAAACAGCACGGGAGCCAAAAACACAAAAAACAGCACGGGAGTACGGTAACTATATACAAATATCTTATATATGTACACTATGTTGGCTGGAACGCAGCCTGAAATAGTCCGAACATGTCTGAAGTTTGATTGGCACGCTTGAAAAGACCAACTCTCGCCAGCTCGAAAGGTCACCTACTCTCACTTGGGCCGTGGCAAATGTATGCATGACACCTGGAACAGTCAAGTTGCAGCCACTCCAGGTGGTGGGCTTCAGTGTGAGCAGTCGCAGTCAATTCAGTTCCCTCACCATCAAGTTACGTTTGCTAGTTTGCTTCAACTTGGGCCAATGCAGAAGTCAAGAATAGCAAGACACTTCAGAACGACCGCATGGGAAGATATCAGGACGGCACCAGGTCACCTGGTGCCTGACTTCCCCAGCATCAACTGGGAAACCCAGTTCACCTCCCCAGCGTCAACTGGACTTCCCCCGGTAGATTTGCAAACACTTGGATCCGTAGCCATCGAAGATCCACACACCGACGCACCGGGTGCCGCCTGGGCCGGGCGCGGGCGCTCGGCTGCCCATCCTGGCGGGGTGAAAGGCGTTGGAAGATGCAGGTCTTTGAGCGTTTCTCAAAAGAGATAGACCCTCCAATTTGTCAAATGAAAACAAAGAAAACACGATATATAATCCTTTTAACATACGAATCATCATCTTTTGTTGAGCGACCCAGTGACCCCATCATCATCTTGGTGGTTCACCACGAAATCCACAAAAACACGACCCAAAAGCTTCGATCCTTTTTGGAAACACCACAAAGAGGGCACAACTAGTATAGGAAGCAGTGAGAGTATAAGAATTAAAGACAGACCGTCCTCTGAGTGATCGTACTAATGTAGACGCTTGATTAATAAACCCCCCCTTTGAAGAGGATTTTCAATTCAAATGGGGTGGTGTATTAATCAAGAGATATCAAGAGTCTACATTAAAACTTCCCATCGCACTTCATCTTATATCATCGTCATCTCGGAGAGTTGATTCAGCACCCCTGCCCACCCCACTGACCGACCAGTCCCTGAAAAGATCGCCCCATCCCGAGCGATGCCGTTGTCGTTTTACTCTTTAAGCCCGGTCAAATCCAAATGGCAGCAGAATGCGGACCGAAATGTATGTTCACCGATCGGCGATGCTTATGCTTGGAGGGACCACCCAGCCACCCTCCAAGCTCGCCAAAAAGGCCACCTTTTGAGCGACTCTTACTCGAAGGGTCACCAAGGGTCCGACTCTCAGCTGAAACAGTCGACCCTGCTGCGAGAAGTCGGCTGCGAGAAGTCACGAGTTGGTCTTCGGTTTCTTGCGTGAGACCTCCAAGAGCATGGATGTGCTACTGTTTGTTGTAAATGAGCATGGATGTGCTACTGTTTGTTGTAAATGTTGTAAAACAGTGACCCATCATCTATATATATATATATACATTTTTTGCACACCTTTTATATACATATGATTACATATGTATATAAAATGTGTATATATACACTTACAAATCACAAATCCACACGCCGCGCGGCACACATTCTTCGCCCCCGCCTCGATGGGGATCGTGGTGACATTCCACGCGAAGGCCTTGTGGCGCAGCCAAGGCAGCACCGACTTGGGGCGGTGCATGCTGACCTCACGGACGTGGACGCCCCCGGACGCCGTGGAGTCCGGACGTGGATCAATCCAGCGAGCACTCCCCAGCATGAACCACAGGAGATTGGTTGTGGTGGCATATATGAATTGTAGGATGTTGTCGGACACACACATATATACATACACTGGGGTGCCAAAAGTTGCGCTTCTTGACTTGCAAAACATCACAA